TGAGACATTTAGCTCGTACACCTTAGGAAACCTGAAGACAGCATGAAAACGAGGCACATATCTCAGGGCAGCACAACACTACCAGAGCCATAGTCTTCCTAGGAGCTCCAAAGCTTCTAAATGACTAAGCACAGCCATTATTTAATAAAAATATAATCCCCTTGTGACTTGGTTTAACTTAAAAAAAGGCTTACAAAACTTAGGGGGTGGGTAGGTACCCCCCTAGCAGGTGGGTGCCTTGATCTCTGAAGAGGAAGAGCTCCTCAGAGAGGGCTTCTGTTGACTCGTTCCTTAAAAACGTGGCCCCACGTGGCTAGCAGAGCCGTGACACGGTTATTTGCAGTGTGGTTGCCTAAGCCAGGAGCAGGCAAGCCCCTCTGCCAGGGATAGCAGCCTCTGGATTTCAGGGGAGATAACTGCACCCTGCTGTGTGAGATGCAAAAACAAAAAAACCCTGAGTGATGCTCATGCCTGGCACGTGCCCTCTCCCTTGCTCTGGAGGACTAGAAGAAGAGCCAAGAGGCAAGGAGAGGCTGTTTTCCCAGCAAAGCATGGATGTGCAGAAATAGCCGTGGTTTGCAGAACACCAGATCTCCTCGTTTATTGTCCCTCTGTCTCCTTCCAAAACATTATATTATTCAGCAGTGATTTCTCAACTGTGATGATTATCAGCAATCATGGGCTATTATGGGCTTAAATCTAAGAGAAGCAATACAAATAAGATCTAAGCACAAGATAGACTGTATTCAGAATTAATGGTTATTCTCCTAGCCCTGTCATTACCTTGATTTCCCGCTGTCCATGCTATCATAGATACTCTAGGATCACATACAGCTGGAGAGGAAGCAAAAATGTAGACTCGATGGGGCAGTAGAGAAATCAAGCAAGAGACATGAGCAGGCATTATCTACCGACCCGAGATCAAGCTTCCTGCCTTGCAGAACAGGGCAGGGGCTGCTCTCTGCAATCCCCCTTTTGCCATAAGGGTTTCTGGGACTGAAAGCACCAGCAGCGCTAAGTCCCAGTAGCGAGATCACATTTCCTCTGGTCACTCCATCTGAGGAAACACATCCGTACAGCACTGATAGCTCCAGCCTGGGCCACTGTGAAATCCCTCGGGGGAAATTCAAATATTCATGCGTGTAGGCCTTACGTGTAGGCTTGGATTCCACGAGCTCATCTTTCACTCCAAAATTTGGGAAGCACGCTAGCAAATAAACTTGATGGAAACCAATTGCTCTCGCTTCCAGTCAACGCTTCACAGAATGTAATTACTTTGTGTATGGGTTTGTTATTTCTCCTGCACCGAGACAGGACAAAAAGTTGGGTTATAATGTAGAACATACAGCAACAAATTCCACTCTACGCTAAAGAAAGTAGGCAGAGCCCCATGCATTTCTGTGGAGCTCAGTCAGTATCTGCTGAGTTACTGGGCTCAGTACTGAAGTATATTGGCTGTAAGCAGAGGGACGTATGCCCCAAAGCTCATTTCTTCATAAAAGGGTTGCAGGTGCACCCTCCTAGGAGGATTTCTCACTCTTGACTGCCAAGTGAGAATGTCAGCCAACTCACGGTAGTCTTCATCCTCTCCCTGAAGTTATGACATTACTGTAAAAAGTATAAAATTAAAGGGGGACAAGGCAGAGACTTATAAAACTGTAAGACATAAAACTATAGGACAACTGGGAAGGTTGCTAGATACCTAGTGAGACTTCTACAGGAGCTGGCGAGCACTGGTTTATGGCTCCACGCTGGCAGCAGTACTTCTGCAGACGTAGCATGGGCTGAAATACCAGCCACAACGACCAGAGCTGACACGGGGCCTGATCTTTAGAAGTGTGTTTGGAGCAGAAGTCCCTCTCAGAGGTGCTAGGAATGCCTCGCCATCATCCCTGCACAGAAGCTTCTCCACAAGAATTAATTCCGTTGTCATTCCACTTGCACAAACCCACATGGTCATTATGGAAGTGGAATTGAAGTGTCATTCCCAAAGATTCTCAGGTGACTAAGCTAGCATGGCTAATGACTTTTTAATATCTTTTTTTTATGCCTTCAAGAAAAGTGATATAAGTAATGCAGTATTTTGTTTTCTAGTTCTATAAATCCATTTGTTTTTGTCTCATTTCAGAGTCCCTCTGGAGTAGCTCTCCAATTGGGCTTATTTTGTGTTTGTTGAAATTTATATCCATCTATTGTCCTAGTAACAGGGTTGAAAGCCAGGAAGCATAATATTCACTCACTATTTCTGAGAAGTTATTTCTTTCTGGCTAACCTGGTCTCTCTGACCCAGAAGAAATTGTATCATCATTGAATTAATTTTCCTCCAAAAAAAAAGAGCCTAAAATGAAATAAGCTACAGGGAACTGTGTGGAATAGGAATAAAAGCAGACTGATATGTTCATTTTATGTAACTACTTCTGCTCTTTTATGGGCCAAGTAAATTATTCTATTCTTCCAGTTCTTGTGGCTTGTTAAACATTAGTGGTGTTATTATAGCCGCAGCTAGAAGAATCTTATTCCAGGACTACTCAAACCTGCTTGTTTTCTTTCTTTCCTTTTTTTTTTTAGGAACATACCTGTGCTTAGATAGAGTTACCGTTAAGTATAAAATAAAACCAGCCAAATATAAACTACAATAGAATTAGAGTTAAATGAGTTAAATGAATTGCAGGAGGTAAATGTGTCTCACAGAAAGTCATACGAGCCCTGTCGTTCAGGCTAGTGACTACTTTAGAGGAATTAGAGACAGATTACTGCTCATTAGGATTTTATACCTAGATTTTATAAACATTTAAGCAGGTCTGTCCACAGCATTAAAATATCCTCCTTAGACCAGTTCAGAAAGTAAATACTAGGCCACTCAATTATCCAAAAGGCTTTATTTTCAAGCCTTTGCAACTTACTTCTGAAGGAATCACGATGAAAATTAGTAGGGTATTGGCTAACACTGCCTGCTAAGAATTTCAATAATCTATGTCTCAATATTTTACCATCTAATCAGAACAAATCTGTGGCTGAATTTTCCACAACTGGTCAGGATGTGTTTTCCTTACCCCTGTGACACAGCAGACCGACCTTCCTCAGACACGGCGATAACGCAGCCAGGGGTGAGACAGCACAAGGCCGCCCGGGCACCTGGAGGATGCTGAATTTCTGATTTCTCTTTGACGAGAGATCTTCTACCCACCGCCACAAATTGGCACCAGCATGTCCCTCTCTGGCACAGCCAGAGGGATAATCCATCGGGCTGCTGACATTCTCCATGCTGGGAGTTTCCCACATAATTAATTACCTTTAGTCGTAAAAACGTCAGGCCCGCTCTCTATTCTTTGTGCTGCCATATACCACATCACCTCTCCCTGTCTTTTCAAATACATGCCTTTTTTTTTTTTTTTTTTTTTGCTTTTATGGGAGGGTGACTTTTCCCAGCTTGGACTCCAGCTGCTGCTCTGCCCTTCTTTCCGAGAAGCAGAGGCGAGCCTGGCTCCGCGAGGTTCCCATCAAGCGTCTACCACACCACACATGGCCCACCCAGAGCCCAGGTCGTGCCAGCTGAAGGAAGAGAAAATAAAATAGCTCCTGTCTCGGCTCCGTTTTTCAAGCAGCCTGTTCCTTCCTCTGTGTGAACGTGCCCTGACAGCCTGTCTCTCCCTCTGTCTCAGCCTCAGCATCCCAAGGAGGGGTGCTGGACCGCGAGCAGCGACTGCCTGCTGATAGCTCAGGCTTTCAGTGAGGCTGTGGACGAGGTGGCATTACTGACACCCCGGACAGTGATAGTTCACACATCTCCTGCATCGGTTTCACATCTTCAGTCGCATCCTCCGTCCCATTCCTCTTCCAAAAAATTACCTGCCAGCCTGCGGACAGCAGATCTCAAAATCCAGCTGACTGCTGCTTAAACAAAATAGATTACCCCTGTTTCAAGGCTCACCCTCAAGAAGTGAATGCTCACAGCTCTCCTGCAACCTCAGAGTTTCTCAGTGGTCATTCACACCAGGAGGAAATGATGGCCTTCCCCTCTGCCTGCTGTGCTAACTGGTCCTCTCAAGCCGAAAATGGTCTGCTAAATGCCCTTCAAGAATCATCCCAAGTGGAGTAATCCAATTCCTCCTGCTTGCTCTCTGCCTACTTCTGATTATTGGGAGCTTGATGATGGGACAGCAGGGGGTCACGTATGTCGTCTAGGAAAGTCCATTCAGCCCTCGCCTTCTTTTCACGATGCTGTATGAGAACTGGTGTAGCTTGCAGGCTATACTTTCATCTGCCATTTTTAGCAAGGGACAGGCCTGGCATGCTCTGCTGTTGGAAAAACTCAGCCTGTGTACATCGCTGCTTGCCAGCCATCCTGCCAAAGCAGCTTGCTGTTCCACTGCAGGCTTCCCGGACAGCCAAAGCAGCATTTCCATGAATTCCTGGCAGAGGCCAGGAATATTTTTTTCTTTCTTATTGTGTCAAGTCAGAGAGCTTTATACCAGAGGATTTATAAGGCAGGTGAGCCTTAATTGGCCCCGTATCTTTCACTGGCTTTAACACTCATGCTAAATAGGTGTAAAAGCTGTTGTATCAGCAGTTCTTTGCTACGTTCCCTTTGTAAACCATCACGCAGGAGACAAATTAAGGCAATGTCAGATTCATGTTCCGGAAACTTGTACTTCCCATTGTAAAGTTGGAAGGCAACAACACCCCTGATTGTTGTAGAAAATAACGTCAAATGTAAGCGATATTAAATTGTTTTGCATTTAAGACGTTTCACTTCAAGTGCACTGGAGATAGTTATCGGTTCCATTTGCTTCAATGAATTTTCTGAGTAAGTACCCACGCTGTGGTTGTGCCACAGCTCTCTCCCATTTGACTCCAGACCTTGTTTTTATGATGTGGTTGGCTCCTAAGTACACTTACCCTTAAACGTGTTAGCGAAAGGAAGATCGATATGAATTAGATCTTTCGTTATTAAGATAACCCCTCCCCAAACAATCCCATATATTCTGATTTTGTGATTCAGTGTAATTATGTAATGCTTGTCCAAGGAAGGATATGCTGATAGGTTGACATTAAAAGACACGTTTGAGCTATTCTAGTCTGTAGAGTAATGGTCACAGACCCAGTAATAAAATTAACGTGGCCTCTTGGAGCTCTGCCCTCCAACTCCAAGAGCTCCTCAGACCACCATCCTCAAGAAATGCCTGACGAGGAGGAGGAGAGGCTCTGGCGTTCCCACAAAAGTTGTGTTTTGCTGTCGTGTGCCCTTTCTTCTTTCAGCATACTTCCATCTGCCTCCCGCAGAGCTTGCTACAGCATCTCTGTGTGTAAATAGCATGCTCCTCTATAATTAGCTTCCTCCTCTGTGACTTAATCAGTGATATTGTAAACCAGACACTGTGATAATTTGATCAGCTCAGTGGTGGTGAATTGTAGCATGACTAAAAAGTCCAGGCTGGGTGTAACTATAGGAGAAGCGTCTGCGTGAGGGCAACGGTGATCCAGTGGTTAGGGTCAGAGCATGTGATTACACTGAAATCCTGTAGCTAATCCCAGTTCCTACTCCTTGGGGAACATCCCACTCCCTAGAGGGAAGAGTGAGTCAGGTGAGCTTTCTTTCCCTGTGATATCCAAGGAATCTCAGCTATTAAAAGCACTGCTTATGCAGAAGGGCAGGGATTGCTCCATCTTCTCCAGAAGAGATCAGAGCGCCAAGATTGCATTCTCTCCAATGAGGTGGAAATTTGGGTTTCGGGGCTCTTAGGGGAGGAGGAGACAAAGTCCCACATCTCCCCACTGAGTGGATGAGAAGGTATCAAGAGAAGAATTTCTCCACCTGCCCTAGAAAATAAGAAAAAGAAAAAAAAAAGGTAGAGTAGTAGTGCCACTGGATTTTGTGCAGTGCATGGGCTGTGAGCTGCACCCACGCATGGCACTCAGGTTGAGGTAGGCAAAGGGGAACCTTAGCTGTGAGCCCAGCAGCCTGCGAGTGTCATTGGGAAGATACTTGATGAAGGGGGATTTGTTTGGTCCTCCTCCTTTCCCAAAAGCTCCGGCAGGTTTCTGTGTCACAGTAGGTGGCTGTGCGTTTCCTGGCTCAGAGCCATCCATGGTGAGACATCGCCGAACCTCAAAGTTTCCTTCTGCAGTGTCGTTCTCTCTAGGCTGCTTGGGTAGCTGTTGGCTGTGGCAGTGCATGTAAATTGCACTCCGCGATCTGCTAATGAGTTCTCAAGCTGGATTGTGCACTTAAATAGCTGAAAGTTGCTTACATAATTTGTCTTTTTTTTTTTTTTTTCCAGTAAGCCTGGTTTCAGAAGCACACAGATTGTGCATGCCATTTGGAGCAATTTGCTCTGCATCAACAAGGTGCCATTGTTTCTGTGTGTGTGTTAACTCTGGATTTGCAGGTGTATGCTTGCATGGAGGTAGCACGAGCAAGCTTGCTTGCCTCACGCTGGTAATTACTTCACAGCATTCGGTGCCAAAACTCTCAATCAATGCTCTCACTCGATAGCAGAGCTCACTCTTTCCCGTATGTCACCTGGGTGTGAATTTCAGAGTATATGATACGGGTGAAGAAGAAAAATCTGTGCGTTTCTTGCCGAGGAATTTTGCAGAGTATATTCAGCAGCAAAGTACCTGGCCAGTTCTGGGAGCAGCAAAGGCTGAGATGGGCAAGAGGAAACGACCACCCCCTACAAAGAAAATGCACGAACAGACAAGGAGCCAAGCCATGAGGGGAACTCAGTGCAGATTCCCTGGATGCAGTCAGGGAAGAAATAGCCTACTAAGAGACTCCTAATGTGAGTGACACGGTGCTTTCCCAGCACAGAGGAGAGGCATTCTGGGCTGTGCTCACAGATCACCTAGCAGAAGGGAGTGGTGGGTGTGTGGAATACTTCCTTCAGAGGTCAAATTCTGCCTCCCGTGAGCCTGTACGATGCAGCTTCTGGCTTGTCCTATCAACCATCTGAGCTGAAAGCACATCATGCCGCCTCCCAAAGGGGACCATTTTGTTCAGTGATTTGTCTTTTCCTCCCGGCATGAAAACAAACAGCACAGGTTCGGCTCAGGCCACGGGATCTGCCACTGACAAAGTAATGGGGTAAACAGACGGCTCCCAGTGAGCCAGGACCCGTGGAGGTGTTCACAACCTGCTTCAGAGGCTGGGAAGAACGAAACGAGTGGCAGCAAACATTGTTTGCCTGTGTTATGTGTGAGCATGCAGGGACGTGAGTGCAGAAACATGCAGAGACCCTAACTGATGATGAAATGCTGTTACAAGGATGCAGGGCCGGGCTGTTTCTCCCAGAAGGGGCTCTTCCCAGGGATCCCGTTCTGTGGCTCCGATGCACAACCCAAACCTGGCTCCCAGAGATGCTGCCAAACAGACAGCAGCAGCGGAAAGTGGTGGAGGCTCCGTCTCAGCAAGCAGTGCTGCAGCATGACACGCAGTCCCCTGGGGCTTGCAGAGCAGGCAAGAGAAATCAGAAGCTTCTCAAAACCCAGAGCATCTCCAGGAACAGGCACCTTGCCCAGTGTGACAGAAGCATTTGTCTTTGCTTGATACTGTCCTGAAAACCTCTCCTAATTTCCGCGCTTGTTTTGTACAACGACAAGCTGCTCGATTCTGCCTTCCTTTCAGCGGAGTCACTTCGCTCCTGTTCCACGATGGGAGTGTGCTGCTGCAAAGCTCTGAAAAAAGCACTGAAAGAAGTTAGAAGCACAAGTGCCCCTGAAAAATGGTGTGTCTGGCACTTCTAAATCCTTTGGCGGCCACTGGGAAAACTGCCCAGCGTTAATACAGACCTTAAATGCTCAAAAGACTGTGTCACTTGGAGAAGCGTATCTGCAGTGGGAAGTCACATTGGTGCATCCCTGATGTATAAATTATTAGCCAACATGACAGCCCAGCCCGGCCCACTGAGGGAAAAGAAGGGATTCGTGCCAAACTTCAAAAGACCTAAATGAGGCCTGAAAGTTACAATACAATTCTGATACAGGGATGAATCCTGGAAGGGTATGAAGCAAGAGCAGTTATGTCATTTGTCTGTTGTTAACTTCCCTCAGAAGATATTCCTAGTTAGATCTTACATTCATCTGCATCCCTTGCTTTTCACCCACTTCCTAAGAAACCTCTCCAAAACCCTCCAATGCACCCACATTTTAGAGCCTTTAACATATAAAATTAAGCCGTATAATGGTCTCTTCCCAGCCTCTCTCATTTTAGCTACCAAATTAGAGCCTATGCGGCACAGTCTGCGTGTTGGCATTTCTGCAGAGGGTAAAGCTTACCCTGCTAAGTCAGTCACAGCCACAGCACCCAAACACTGAGCTCGCAGACGGGCCAAATGCTCCAAGCAAGTTCTTCTCCTGAAGGGATGTTCTGTGGGAACGCTCGGGAGCTGTCACCAGCGGAAGGATCCAATTTTGGGTCCTTAAAGGATTCTTGAAATGTGTTTTACATATGCTGTGCCTTAAACTACTTGCCATAAAGCTGTCGCATGGCTCTGCCTCTCGCTGTTTAAGAGGAGCGTTTGCTAGGACACGTCTGACACCACGGCTAAGGCAGCACACACAACCAGTTTTTCCTTGTCTGAGAAGATGCCGGGAAGTCGGAGAGGATGCAGAATTTTGCCATGAATGTAGTTTGAGGAAGGAGAAAAAGCCCTTGCATCAACGGGTTCCATTAGTGCACTCTGCTTAAATTACCAAAACAAAGATTGAAAGGTGGCTTAGGAACGGGGTACAAAGAGCTTAATGCAAAGTTCTGGCTATCAAAGGTGCGTTTTCCATTTAACTAATGGAGAAAGATGTAACGAGGCAGCAGCCAAGAGCAAAAGACGGGCAGATTCAAATGGAAGAAGGCGCAGCTTTTAATACTGACGAAGCTTAATTACTGCAGTCAAGTATCAGGACAGAGGTAGGGTCTCAACAGTAAATAAGATCTAAACAAACCTGCACGTCTCCCTGAAGAAATGCTGCTGTGACCTAGGGATTGCTCTTCCCACAGGGGAGGACTACATCGTGACACTGGGGGCAGGCCACGCCATCTCCCCATGTGTTCTGACACCAAAATGCCTCCACTGGGGATCCTTGCTAGACTCAAGACCCCCAGATATCCCTCAAATATTTCTTTTTTATTGACCAACAGCTCATCCCTCTCCTTCCATCACGTCGCCAGTGTGAGTGCCCCTAAGAAAGGGCTGAGGTTCTCTGAGAGGATGCTTCCAGCCCACCTAAATGAAAATAACCCAGCTCTACGAGGTAGATGGACTCAAACACCAGCCTGAATAACAGGAACCCACTGACCAGGCAGGTCCCACAGCAAGCTCTTACCCTGAAATTGGTCCTCCGGGCAGGCAGGTTGCCCTTTGGTGTCACCTCATTCTGTACTGCCAACCATCTGCCAAGTGGGGGACCTTAAAGTGCTTAAAGCCAGCTAATTTTGGCAGGTCTCCATTGCTGTAGTCTCGTATCCTCTCTAAATTCCAATGTGGGATGGCTTAAATGTGAGACGAACATAATTGCACCACATTATCAATTCACCACGTTCAGTTAAGTAGCACATTCACTTACAGCGTGGGATGCAGGCGCGTTCTGTATTACAACACGTCTTTGTCACACACCGCTCAGTCTAATCTGGTATCAGCAAAACAAACCATTTGCAATATTTTCCCCCGTACCCGGTGTTTAGGTGTTGAGTTCGGACAAATGGAAGGGTTTCCATAAAGATGATCTCTAAATGACTGCAGCAGAAAGCATAATTAGATTCCTCTTCTGGAATAGCGTAAAGTCATCTGCATGTGCTTAAGAGTTCAGCAAGGCTTAAATACTTCGCTGAATGAAGATTGATGGATATGTCAGATCTGCAAGGCATTTTTATTTTTTAATTTTTTGGATTGCTGCATCCTCAGCACACCAGCACTCTGATCCCAGCCTGAGCAGTCCTGGCTGTGTTCAAGTGCTAGATTCCTTTTTCCATTGCCTGGATGCATTACAGTAAAATGGGAGCTGCTGTGTAGAGTTCTACCACAAACTGAAATGCCTGAAAGGACTTTGGCACCAAGGCTTTCTAAAAAATTCTCCTGGAGGCTGATTTGCAGCGGCCTGATAGGTATCCAAGACGTTTCCTAGTAATGAGTAGCATAAGAAGAAGACTCGTGCATCAGCCCAATTAATGGATTATGCAGACGTGAATGAAGTTTGTCTCTATTAGACATATCAAGAAAAAGCAAAACAGCCACCCCGCAGCCAAGCCACGTGAAAAATATTAACCTTCCTCCGTGCTGCCTGCTCTGAAAGGTACAGCAAATGCTTTCTATCTTACTTTCTCCCCTACAGGCTTGCTACAATAAAGCAAAGCAAACCTTATCCTGTGATCACAGAAAAGCTCAGTTTGGATGGGACCTCAGGAGACCATTTATTCCTCTAATTTTCTTGCTCTAATGCGATTCCCCCGTTGCTGGAATTTCACCAGAGTAGCACAGATGCATGGTCTATTTGCATGAGCAAACCTAAGCTCAAATCTTGGTTTCACTGTGAGCTCCAAGAGCAGCCTTGAGTTGGGTACCAGGAGACTGCTGCTTTGAGATTCAACCCTGCTACTCTGCAGCTTTGTGCAACCCTTTTGTTGCTTAAATGCAGAGGAAGAGGCTCTTCCTTCCAGGATATCTCTATTGCGTGGAGCAAGATGTGACCCTGATTTCAGTCGGGGGTTGAAGGGAGAATGATGATAAAACTTAGTGTGATAGTGAAGTGGCAGAAGCATTTCACAGAACCTACAGCTACTGGAAGCTGAAATCTGATTCCCTAAATTTAGTCTACTCTTAATCCCGTCTTGTCCTGTGAAATTTGCCCACTTCTATCAAAATACAAAGATTCCCACAAGAGTTCGGTCATTACTCAAGCTCTCTTTATGAGACCTCATAGCACTCCCAGCAGGTGCCCAAGGTGACTGAATTATTTAAACACCCTGGTTATTATTTTTCCTAATTCTTCATTTCTTCTTGGCTTCATCACAAAGTTGAAAGGCATCTATTTAAGTCTCTGTGATGAACCACTCCAAATTATTTCTTTGAAGCACCATCTCACAACAGGACTCGCCTGACTGTGTTTTTTAGATACACATTGAAGATGCTGCAGCAGATGAATGATTTACTGAGTTATTTAGCAAAAGCCCCATTGATTTGACAAGGCAGTGAGCTCTCCAGCTTTTGCTGGCTTTTCTATCACTGAGTGTGTCATCAGAACAGGTAAAGCTGTGAGCCAGAGCCTGCGTATGTCCTCTGACACCGTGGATCAGATATTCACCTGGTTCACACCACGACAGGTCCCAGAGAACTCCACCCAGAGCAGCTTTTAGTGGAGCCAGATTAGCTGTCTTGCAAACCAAAAATCTTTTTATTATGCTAATGGCCAGCCTGTCTCATCCTAGGGAGAACATTGGTTACTTAGCCCAGAGAAATGAGTATCAGATTAAATGGCAATTATTGTGCAGCTCACTATAAATCTTGGGACATATGATTTCACTTACTTTGACATTAAAAAAAAAAAAAGAGCCTAGTTTATTGTGCGGACACAAGCCAGGTCTCTCCTCAAACAGAAAGGAAATTTAGACTACCACACTGTGGTATAATTTAGTAGCTTAAATTGCTATGTATTTTTCCACTTACTCTGTTAGTCGTACTCGGGACAGGTGTGGGGGAAGACAGCTAAATACAGTAATTATGCTATTACTCCAAAAGTAACTACATTTTTTTTTCCCCCAATACATTTGGGCATTGAGTTTGAGAAGTTGTTTCAGTTGCCAGTAAACCCAAGAAAAACTATGGGAGCAAACCGTCATGGTCTCCTAATATACCATATATTTCTGCTAACCATCTGGCTGCTTTCAGTGCTTTTGCCACTCAGGAAGAAAGTCATTCACAATCAATTCCAACAAATACCATACACATTAGATTGGGAAACAAATTATCATTCAACATTACATGTTGTAAAGGAGTTTCAAGTTCGCCTGGCTTCGGGAGCTGTTTTCTACCTACTGAAGGTTCATCAATAAAGCCCAGGACCCCTTAACACCATACACATTAAGGTTAGTTCCACAAATATTCAGAGATTCAGGTGTTAGGGGAGGATCTTTATAGTTACTCAGGATTTTAAGGAACAAGTATTTAGGTTTTGGTAAGCATTTATGGGTTTATTTCAGTTAGCTAAGTAGAGATCTTTTTAATCAAAACCTGAAGGAGAAAGCTCTGAAAAAAAATTTCATTAATCCTTTCGTGTGTTTGAAATAGTTCAGATAGTAAATATTTTAACAGTGCTTCTAATTAGTGAACATACAGTCATCTAGTCTTGAAAATAGAACGTACGGAAAAATTCTACTGAAGTTGAGTGTTAACAGATGGGCCTTTACAAGCAGTCAGCATTTATCTAATCCTTCTTCTATTTGACTAAATTGGAGTTTTACTACTTGCTTCGGGAGGAACAGGTTTGGGCCAATTTTAAAATTCCCATGTTATTAAATACATAACTAGCAGATTTGGACACAGTTGCAGTCTCATTTTCAAGACAGCAAGATAAGCATTGGTAATTTTTAACATAAATTGCATTCACGCCGTCCCGGTATTTTATAAACAGACATTAATCAGGACTGAATTGCTATTCAAGACACTAAGAGGTCTCACAATGTGATCTTCTGAACTCCAGCTCAACAGCAAGGTGAATGATGTAGCAGGAATACCCAGAATGAGTTACAAGTCTTAGCTATCCTGCTTAACTCTTAAGCTGCCCTGGAACCAGGAGCTAGGCTTGACGATCCTCGTGGGTCCCTTCCAGCTCTGGATATTCTGTGATTTTAATCCCACTTAATCTGACTGCTCATCCTTCAGAACACAAATGCAGATTCCTTTGTGGAAGTGCACTGCCTTTGCAAGTAAACAGCAAACCACTATGAGCCTGACTTCAGGTATGGTACAATCCCATTCCTTCAGCACGTTTTGGAGCCTCTTACGTTGGCAAAATGTGTCTTAGCAACTGAAAAAGCATTTTCTGACGAGACATACAAGTCACTTTCCCAATCAAAAGACCTTGTAAGCAGGAACTCCCGTAACCTGATATTCCTCAGCATTCAGAAAAAAAAGATGTACGCTAATTTGTACTAACTAGGGAATTGATTCCCCTGCACTGCTCACGAGCAATGTAGCAGGCGAGTTACAAATGGCACATTATCTGTGGATTTAATTTTTCATGGAGGGCTGTAGTCAGGACTCCCCTTACCGTGCTGTTATTTCAGTGGAAAGTGCTCCAGCACAGTTAGGAATTTTGTCTCCAGACAGCACTATGGGAGGGATAAGCCTGACACTGCTCCTACAGTGCCCTCGGATTAACTATTAGCCACATCTCACACATGCTGCCAGCCAGAAATATAAATTCATTACAAAAATAAAGGAATCCAAAAGAGCCATACATTTATTCGACCAATATTTTGTATGCTGTGATTTTGATTTTTTTTTTGTGTGTCCTACTGACTGTCAAATGCAAACCAGTCTTACAGATTTCCTAGTCTATTCTCCACCTGAAGCCCAAATGACCTTTTCTCAAGGAATGCTTTTTGGCCTTGACGTGCATTTCATCCTGATGTCGCCACGTGGCTCCATCCACCTTGCATCCCAAGCATGCCTGCCAGCCAACAGGCAGCTGG